TAACGAACTTTATCGTGTTATCTATCGTTAAAAAGTTGCCATCGTTTACGCATGTGAAAATAGTTAACGATATCATTTGAATTTTTTATTTTTAACGAAGCTTACCGTGTTAACCATCGTTAAATATTTCATTCTTTTTGACGCGTGAAGATGTTTAATGGTGTTACTTGAGTTCGTTTAATTTTAACGAATCATATCGTATTAATCGTCGTTAAATAGTACATTGAAGTTTTGAGTCAGTAGTTGTTAAGTAGCCATCGTACTATGAGTTGAATGTTTAGGCTTAATCTGGAATGGTAAAAATAAGCTTTTTTTATATATCATGAGGATTCTTCAAGATTGGGATAGCGAAAAAAACAAACTGTGCTAGAGTTTTTTTTCCAGTAGACGCATTTTTCAATGATATCATTTACTGGTACATAATAATAGTTATTGTTTTTATGTAATTGTCCTTCTTGAATTGATGTTATATCGATTCTTTGACCGTTTGTAACTATTGATAAGTTTTTGACATCAGAAAGCGGCCAAAGTTCCAGTAAAATTTCATCATCTGTAGCAATAAATATGGCAGTTATTAAACCAAAATGAATTGCATCTTGAATTCTGAATAGAACTGCAGAATCATCAGCTGCCTTTGATTTTGAGTAGTCTGCAGTTGTATAACGAACACGTCCCATCTTGATTGTCCCATAAAACTGAAGATTTTCGTTCGAGAATAAAGTGGAGATTCTGTTATTGGACGGTATTGAATGCATAGTCTGAGGCACACTTAATGATGATCTATAATAGCCACGACCAAACATCATATTTTCAATGTGGTTTTTAAGTTGAATATTCATTGTTGAATCATGAAGTTGTAAAAGGTCTTCCATTAAGGACGTTCAGGTAAGAGTCGAGTTTTGTTTTTTCACGCGTGAAAACAAATGAAATATTTAACGATAGTTCATACGGTAAGATTCGTTAAAAACAAAAAAAACTCAAGAAACATCGTTAAATATCTTCACACGTGAAAAAGGATCAAATGTTTAACGACATGTAACGAGTTAGTTATCGTTAAAAAGACAATCACGCGTGAAACAGCGTGAAAAGTCTAACGCGTTTTCACGAATTCTCGAAATTTAACGAAAGTTCGCGAATTTCTCTTCATGAAACTTTGTTAGTTTATCTTTTAACGCAACTTTTGGCGTTAATTCCAGCGCCTGCTTCGATAAATGTTCTTTTTTAAAATTCTATATAAGTGCCTCGCTCCTTTGACATCTGATATAAAAAGAATTTCAGAAAAAACCTACTAACTCATATATGAATAAACAGTAATCCTGAAAATTGCGTCTAATGATGTGAGTGGCATGGAAACACATATGATTCAAGCTTGAAACTTGAATTAAGCTTTCAAGTATGATACTACGATCAATGCGAGCTAAGTATATCCGTTTCACCCAGGTGTCTTTCATGGATGATCCCTAAGCATGCACGTCTGAATATATTTAAACTTCCAATCATTTCGATTTCTTCTCGACGAGTAGCTTTGATAGTTCGCATTATCATCCCTAAATATCAATGAAATCATATTAAAAGATTGGTAGAAAAAAATCAAGATATCACCCAAAATATTTTCAAAATGAAATGTAGAATAAGAAGTCAATGGACCGTAATCATTAATAGTTTGTCCAATATGATTAAGGGAATGTACAACTTGTTGATTATGTCGAGCCGTGTAGAGTTTTGGATATTCAATGAGAAACTCATGAAGAAGACTTTTTACGTTATCAACCATGACCATGTTTATAGTGCGGTGCTCCGAAAAATGAATAGCTATTACTAATTTCAGAAAATGATCGTAATATTTAGCTTTTAAGACCTTTTTAAAGATCACAAATCCAAAAAGAAGGACCATCCTTAATTCACTGGCTTTAAACTTTTTGAATTTAAGTAGTGAACGTGGTCGTCGACCAGTTGTTGAAGGAAAACGAAACGATTGAAGCATTGATGACAGTTGATGGATATGATTAAAACACGACCAATCTTCTCTTTTATAATCAGCACGAAGCCAAAGAGACAATAACTTCCTCTTATAAAAAATAAAAAATATTAGGTATGGATTTAGATGTCAAGTATACTACTTACAGTTACACCTTGATACACGTTGTGTAGATTATCTGATACAAAACTGAATCCAACGTCAAAATATTTCAATTGACGAAGCACACAAGGACCGAGGATTCCATGTTCAGACTCCTTATTTTTGATTAATTTTTGCTTGAGTTGACGCTTACCTTTGCGATCAAGTGAATGACGATTAATTTTTTCTATTTCAATATCATTTAGTTCTTTAATTAAAATAAGATAATCATATCGATCATTTGTTCTTAACTGTGGTTGAATCAGAGAGTTTTCAATAGGAAAACAATTAATTGGATGATCAGAATTGGCAGATGACAACACAGTATAGCCTAAGTAAATATCCCATGTAAAAATTTATGTAAATTTAACGATTTAACGAAATTTAATGTTACATTTTTGACCGTGAGAAAGCGTTAGAAATATGAACTAAACGAAGTCTCATGCGTATTTTTCCGTTGAAACGAGATTAACGTAAAATAACTCGTGAGACTTCGTGAAAAAGCATATTTTTGACTCGTTTTCACGGTCTACAATGTAACATTAAATTCCGTCAAATCGCCGAATTTATATAAATTTTTACATGAGACTTCTGAAAATAAGAAAAGTGTGTATGGAAAAAATTTTTACCACGAATTTCACATCTTCCGCATCCAAATTTTGCAGTTGGTTCAGGTAAATTTTGTACCAATGCTTGTGCTGGTTTATCCATACATGCACAAATTAAAAAAACTTTTAAAAATCGTGAAACGTAGCCTGCATCTGAACAGCATTCAAAATAAGACCCTTTCTCCAACTCCTTAAGTTGTAGAATAATTGTTTCCAACACAGCCGACATTTCAAACCGCTTTGGTTTTGCAGGACCAGGCCAGACTCCACCAAGTATTAAGTTTTGGAAGGTGAATCGCTTTTTACGTTTAATTTCATTAATTATAAAAGTTACAGGCCATATTGACTTTTCTGTACTTTTAAATGGTTGTATTCCGTCTGTACTCATAGTTAGAGTTAAAATGTCGTCAGATTCTTCATCAAGTAGTTTTCGATAATAGTTACCATCAACAATATCTTTCATTGTTAAAATTGAATGTGGTGTAACGTTTGTACGTTTTTGTAAATACATATCTGCTGTAGTAGCTAATATTGAAGAAAGTTGATCACGAATATTAAAAGTATAAAAATAATTTGGCATTGATGCAGGGGGTACAAAACGCCAGCTACAATTAGCATTTGAGCAAGTGGACTTGTTATCAGAGACCTTTTTGCAACTTGGACATATCCACCACACTGTTCGATCAAGAGTAGATGCACATGATTTATCAAGTGCTTTTTTGATTTGAAACCAACTACGAGGAGCACCAGGCACATTTAAAACACACAATAGTGAACATATATCGTTGATGCAGACTGCTGATAAAGAATGACGATTTTTCAGCGCGACTAAAGTCGCAGCTAAATCTACTTTTTCAATAGGTCTTGATAATGAATCTGAACTTGTCGAGAGTCTATAAAATAATCAAAAAATTATATAATTAGAGCGATGAACACTATTTCTAGGACAAGCAGTTTCTAAAACAATAATAGATCCTGTGATTAAAGGTCCATGCAAAAAATGCTGATGAATTTAGCGAATTAACGAAAATATATATTTCATTTTCAGTTGTACAAACGCGTGAAAACGAGACGTCTTTTAACGAAGTTTCATGCGTTTTTCTACGTTAGTTACTATTAACGAAAAAACATGCGTAATATTTCGTTAACAGACGTCTTTTTTCACGCATTTTCACGATCTAAAAGGTAACATCATTTTGCTTTAATTAGTTGAACAAATGAATATTTTTACATGAGGAAAAGAAGAAAAAGAAATCAACACTAATGCACTACTCTAGGTGATGAAAAGAGTTTTCGAAACATTATACATACATATTTTGTTTATCTTGAGGTTCATAAGACTCATTCCTAGTTGGAGATGTAAAATTTGAAAGCGAACAATCATCATTAAAACGTTGCGATTGATCATCTGGAGAAGCAGCAATGTTTATAGATTCATTGATGAAATTGGTGGTAGTTTGAGTCCATTGAGTTAAATCCTCATTCAGCTGCTCGCATCCCTTCACTAAATTTAAAAAATGAGTAAATTTCTCAATTGACAGAATTTTTAAGTTTCAACACACAAAAACGACCATTTGCTTTGGCAAGAAGCATCATTCTTCGTCGATACTCGAAATTCTTTCGATTAAGTCGTCAATCAGCCACCTTTTCTGTCATTTTGCTTCAAAAAAAGTCAAAGTGACAATGTTTTCAATGATTAATTACAAACAGAATATATAAAACTATCCAACAAAATTCATAAATTTTTAATTACAATGAAGAAAAACCCAATGGTTTCTAATCTTCTAGTACTCTTTATCTTTCAAAGCTTTTATTGTTCATTTATATGCCTACACGTATAAACATAATTGAGAAAAAACAAAAAAAAAATAAAGTTCATCACTGAATATTCAGTACAAAAAAAAAACAAATATAACGAGAAAAATGCAAATAGAAATAAAATCTATCAAGTAACATCGAAAATAAGTCTAGATAAGTTTCTGAAATCAATAATATTTCATTGATTTCTTGGTAAATCATTTTCTTTATTGATGTTGGATTTTTTTTTTCCAATAAACTTTGAATTATTGGAAGTTGATTGTTGAGATTCATTTTTTCCATCTTGTTTTTGCTGAGTTTTGGCACTACGAAAAACATTGTTGATACTTTCATTAATTTTTCCTCCCGTCAGACTTTCCATACCATGAAACATGTTAACGTAATCTATAATATAAATATATTATTTAATATTAAATCACAAAAAGGAATTACCATGGACAGCTTGTCGAAGATCATCATCAATACCTTCTTCAAGAACATCCATTCGAGCATGTAGTGGATAACAGGCACGTATAATAGAACGAGCTGTTCTTGTACCATTCGGCTTTTATAGTCTATTCAATTGTTCTTCGCTCATACTTAATCGGTCACAAATCTTAATCAATTTTTCACCTCTTCCTTCTTCCATTTCACCAGCACAGGAAAGTAGTTCTCCCATACGTACAAAATATCTTATAACACTTGGATCAGTTGGACGAGCTATAAGAAGTAAATATTAAAAGTTTATTACAAAGCGATGACGTGTAGACCAGAATTTTTCCTTTTGATATTTTTAGATGAGAAAAGCTTTTCAATTAGATAACAACTTGCTATGAACACTTAAATTAAATTAAATTGAGGTTCTGATAGTTAATACAGAAATGAAGCAAAACCATCTCATCAGTTTTTGAAGCAAAAATATTTAAAAACAATACTTACGCATCCATTCCGTTTTATATTTTTCAATTTCTTTCTTCATTCGATTGTTTTCCCTTCTGAGTTCCTCATAAGAACTCACGGAAATTCGTATTCGTTTTGTTTCTACATATTGTGCTTCACTGCCAGAATCAACACTCTTTCGTTTAAATAAACTAGTTGTTTTTTCTATATAGTTTCACAACAAAAAAAAATTAGAAAATAATATTTAAAAAAATTAGTGATACAACCTTCTGTATAGGCAGCACTTAAAGGTGATGCTTCTGATGTCTTGGATCGATTGTCGTTTCGTGGTTCATTGATTGTTGCTTGATTAGATTGATTTTGTTTTGAGTTATTTTCATCACCTAAAATATGACATACATTAGCTTGTTCAACATAATAAAACCTTCATACAATTTTTTTCTTGTTCAATATCAATTTCCAAACGTGCATCATTTGAGTCAGATGAATCTTCATCGTTCAACTCTAAATCATTTTTACTATTTGAAATACCAGTTGGCTCAGATTCACATTCATCTTTTTCATCAAATTTTTGTGCTGCACCATTTTTACTAGTAACCTTTGCCATTAATAATTTTTTTTGTTTTTCACATACTTGCAGTGAACCTTAAAAAAAAAAATTTTAATGTGAAATCATATCTTACAACTAACCAATAATCATAATTGTGCCACGAATAATCTTCTCCCGTTTATTTGTTGACTTTTTATATCCAACACATGATCCAACAGTGAGTTTTGATTTATTAGCAGTTGTTACTAACTGGTGCCATTCAGCAACAATAAAATCAGCATCACTTGTACGAATTACACATGCATCAAATTTTTTCTGTTTTTCAGCCATAAATAAAACTATAGATGATATTACGTTTATCTAAAAAATCTTTATGTTTAAAAATAGAAAAATATTATTAAGGGTGATATAACACTTAAACATTATCGTCCTTACAACTAAGGGCAAACATGCACAACTGACAAAGCATATAATGTTCTACTATTATAATAAAAATATCCTTTGTTACTTTTGTTCATAAGATGTGTAATGGAAATAAAGAACGATAGATGGTAGTCATATCTAGTAGCTGAGAATATTTATCGCTATGCCGTTGAATTAATCTCTTCGATAGGCTTTCAGTATCTTAGAAATGTAAAAATAAAAAAGGCATTCAACGAAGCGAGGGCAGAAATTAACGCCAAAAGTTACGTTAAAAGATAAACTAACAAAGTTTTATGAAGAAAACTTCGTGAACTTTCGTTAAATTTCTGAAACTCATGAAAACGCGTTAGACTTTTCACGCTGTTTCACGCATGATTGTCTTTTTAATGATAACTAACTCGTTACATGTCGTTAAATATTTCATTCGTTTTTACGTATGAAGATATTTAACGATATTTCTTGTGTTTTTATTTTTAACAAATCTTATCGTGTTAACCATCGTTAAATATTCCGTTCGTTTTCACGCTTGTACGTTTTGATCTTTCTGCTTGAATTATATGCAGCCTGTACAGGTACGTAGTAGTCCCAGATAGTGTTTCTAATGGCAAATGTACTTCCTTTGTCTGCACACATTGGAAAACAAAAACATCCTTTGTTGTACACTCTGAGTGATCATTCCATTAAAAACACTGCTCCCATATAGTTTTTTACGTAGCTTGACTTGAAATTTTTCGAGGTTCTTCTATTGAGTTCAGCTATGTTGCCTTTTTTGCTCATAGTTATCCCATTTAATATGACAAACGTGACTGGTAAACTCTACTTTGGTAGAAAGGTAAAAATGTCGAAAATGAAAATATCGAAACCAAAACTGATGGATTAAAATGTGAGTGCAAGAGTGTGGGTGAGGACGAGGATATTTGTCTGATATGTATTAAAACGGCTGAAAGAAAAAATAGAGAAAAAAAATAGCGAAGAAAAAAGCGGAAGAAAAAATGGCGAAAAAATATATTTTCCTGAAAAATGTCGAAAATGTCTCGGATGCCGTTAAGTGACTCTATCAAGCAGTAAGATGTGGAGTTCGAGATTAGAGATGAAGCGAGGACTGATATTCACGTCTGCAACCTACCCACATAAAAGAAACATATAGCTCTGTTGTTGGTTTTATACCTGAATATTTTTGATCCATTATTATTTTTGTTGGTCTACTTAAACATGGATTATTTTTCTGTATACAAGAAATTATCTTCATTCCACTGGTCGAAAATTTTAAAATACACTTTTCTCGACAAACTCATATGATTACAAGGGATTTTTTGCTATAGCCTGTTTCGCCATTATTATCTTCGACATTTTTTCGATTCGCTATTTTCTTTTCGCCATTTTTTTTTCGACATTATTTTTTTCGCTATTCTTTCGTTTGCTATTTTTTTTCGGCCAATTTAATGCTATTCGTTTGTCTCTTCATGGATTGTCGTTTTCAACACTTGTATCTTGCAACATGTTTATAATTTTTGTTTTCGATATTTTCATTTTCGACATTTTTACTTTCGATATAAGTAAGGTAAATCACGTGACCCTCACCTCCGTTAAATACTTGAGCTGGTCTATACATTACTGCTTAGAATTTTTTGAACATTTCTATTGATCGCATGTCTGATGAACTTCTTTTACTGAGCGATGTCTTCATAAGTTTCATTCGTCTCAAGAGGAATATTCAACTAAACAGTTCAATACTGGACATACTTTCTAATAATATACTTGAGAAAAAAAATTTTGTTATCACCACTTATTTCGTAATAGATAGCAAAATCGATTATGAAGCACATAAGGTTTTTAATCATATATCAAAATTCAAAATAGTTATGGTGCTACTCGCATCAATTTTGAATTCGAATACGCTAGCACTGTATATCATAGCATGGTAAAAATGATAAGGCATACTATTTTGAATTTTGATATATGATTAAAAAAATTTATGTACTTCATAATCGGCTTTGCTATCTATTACGAAATAAGTGGTGATAAGAAAAATTTTCTCAAGTATCTTATTAGAAAGTATGTCCAATATTGAACTGTTTAGTTGAATATTCCTCTTGAGACGAATGAAACTTAAGAAGACATCGATCAGTGAAAGAAGTTCATCGGACATGCGATCAATAGCAATGTACAAAAAATTCTAAGCAGTAACGTATAAATCAGCTTAAATATTTAACGCAATTTCATGCGTGTTTTTTTCATAAATTACCGCGTGAAAAATCATTAAATTTTTAACAATTTAACGAAAAAAGACGCGTTAAACGATCTTTTTCTTAACGAAAAAAAAACCGTTAGATTTCCGCGTGTTTAACGCGTTTTTAGGGTCAAAAAGGTAACATTAAATTTTGTTAAATCGTTAAATTTTTAACGAATTTTCACGTCACAAAACTTCGTTAAATTGCTAAAAATTTTTACATGGGAATGAGGATAACCTATGCATAAAAAATGACGGTGGAATCTTCACGAATAATAGACAAACAAGTATCTTAGGCAGCCATTCGACAGTTTTATGAAATTCTTTTTACTGCAACAAATGATATAATATAATATTTTCTTTGGTCGGTTTGATGATACAAACATATCATGAGAGTTATTGTATATATTATACCTTATACATAACTTACCATGTATTTGATCAAGTCAGAAGAAAAACTGTATCCTGACTACAGTTATTGTATAGTTTGAGAATAAAATTAATTATCTTTCAAACAATGTGTAACTATTAGAGGTTTTCTTAAAATTTGAAAATCGAATTGTTTTCACTAGGAAATTCATTTCTATCCTTTGACTGAAATATGATCATCATAAGATGAAGATAGTGTTGGATTCATAACTCCAGCACATGTCAACTGACTGAAGTTGACTTGATTGTTGTTCACATGTACCAATAAAAAAAAAAGAACTCAATATTGTAAAATAAATTTGATTTGAGAGAACAACTATTTTTATTCAGAATTGTAAGACGAAAAAGCTCGAGTTTGAATATAGAAGTTTATTAGTTCTGTATCTAGACATTTACCCTTTCTGTAATAAGCACATTTTTTTGCAGATGAAAGTTGAAAAAAAAAATACGCGTCTTTTGTTATCTCTGTCTTTGGTTTGATTGTAATAGAGAGAAGATCTTTTTCAGTGAGTCGCTGGTGCATCTCTATTCTTGATCTCAGCAGGTGGATGAGTAGCTTCGATGGCGGTGAAATTCTCCAGAATGTTGTAGGTATGCTTGGCACCCTTGGGTACGATCCAGGAGTCGCCAGGACTGAGAAGGACCTTTTGATCGTTTTCAAAATGAAGTTCGGCCTTGCCAGAGATGACATAACCACATGTTTCGTAGTCGCGTGCTACCAAAGACTTCTCATGCATGTCCGGCTTGACCTCTTCCCACATTCGCATCGACATAGACTTGCCGTTTGCTAAGTACTTCTGTCCCATTTCGCCGACAGGAGATGTTTTCGATGAGACTTTGATGATGGACGCGTCAGCCATTTAAAGTATTAATGCTTACTGAATAGTACGAATATGAATGATCTGAAACAAGAACAAATAGAAAGAGCATCAAAACTTGTATTTTTACATTATAAGTAGAAAAATATTCTAGTTGACAACATAAATTCAATACTATCTCCACATAGAGCACGCAAAGGTAATTATTTCTACGAACTTTCAGACTTGTCAAACATCGTTTCTACTGTCATCAGATACTGCCCTTGATTGATGAAAAAAAAAAGGTATTTTGTTTTTCGAAATTGAAAGCACTTTAATAAGTAATAATTCTATTTCAAGAGCATTCTCACCACTTACAATATTGATATATACTGAAAAAGTGTAACAAACTAACTCAGTCAAATGATACCCATCTAGTAATATAAGTTTACATGGCCATATTATTAAGGTCAAATGATTGTGGCGAGCACAGTAAAAATAATTACACATGTATACATTTATAGTGAGTGAAGAATCAGAAAAAAAAAGAATGCAACTATTTTTCGATATTGTATGTCGTTTTTATATGCGTCTTTTTTTTCTTTGTTTTAAAACCGTACCGAATGACCTGAGAAAAAGCATCAACTACGAAATGGTTAAAAATAGGGTTTTTTTTATAAGATAAGAACAGATTCTTCAACAAAAACAAAAGAATTACAATTTTCGTCTTGTTCTAGAATCGAAATATTATCACGCAAGTCCATCGAATATTTTGTCCTTATTATGTGCTTGCTTAAATTGATTTGAATAGAGGCTCTACTTTGTTTTGAGATTAAATGCATCACAACTACTAATAAACCGTTCTCTTTACAATATAATTTATTTTCAATTGTAAATTTTCGTAAGTGAGGAGATGCGTAACATTCATACTCTATCATATATTGTTGCATTCTCTCTGTAATTATCTATACTCTCTGGTTCTTATCTATGTTCTTTGTAGAATATATTATCTCATCTTTATATGTTCGTTCTTTCTCTTCTTACACTGAATTTAAATCGAATGAAACGTTATAAGCAAATTTTTATTCGGCATAGTTTTCGAATTAGCTTCTAGTTCTAAATAATCTAATAACAGTTTTTTTTAGAGACTTATTCCAGTGTCTTTTGTGAAGAGAAACAACACAATGACTATACAAGAAAATTTTTAATAAATTTTGTCCAAGAAATAGAAGTTGATCTAATTATTATTCTGTTTGTCACAGCATTTTGGGGACACGGGTCTGAATGGGTGTGAGTATTAGTGAAGAGAAGATCCACACCCACATCATGATCCTTCCTTCATAGTGTGATGAATTGTGACGAAAATAACAAGAATTGTTTTTTCCGTGTGAAAAATTTTCACCTGTGTTTCGCATTTTCATCCCATAAGGATTGTATTGAAAGATTTGCCA